ATGAATTTTGCTGTTTTGCTTCCACGACTATTAAAATCACACTCCATGCACAGCTAGCTCTCTCTCTCTCTCTCTGTACTTCAAGAACAGTTTCCGTCTCCAATCTCTGTTTTCTGTATTATTCATTTGCTTATTACCCACCAGTCTACCGTTGTTTACAGCGCTGTGGCTGCTGTCTTTTTCTTTTCTTTTCTTTTTTTAACTTAAATGACCTCGGACAAGAAAGCCTGTTTTTTCTGTTGTTCAGTACTGAAGAAATTTAAACTTTATATGCAGAACATTGTAGAATATTTTTAAGGTTATCTGCTATAAAAAGCCAGACCAGGAAAATCTCCTTCATGTTTTTCTGTGTTTTATTCTCAGTTACTTTCACACAAAGGCATCTGCTGTGATGTTCACAATTATGATGAAGTCAGTACTGATAAATGATCAGAATTATAATATTTCTGACTGTCTGAGGCTAAGTTGAATCGAATCGGGACTTTGAAAACCGGAATCGAATGGATTATAGAAATCAGTGATGATACCCAGCCCTAGTGAGCCGCCTAGGCACGACAGAAGTGGATGTAGCTGTAATAGGAAAAGAACTATTGCTAACTTTTCTGTTAAGTTAAGGCCTGATCCTTCTGAAATTCATAGCCAGTGCTCTGACACGGTGTCATCAATCTTTGAATGCTGAAAAAGCACAGTGTATCCAGAACACATTATATTATATAAATTATTATAAAATTTGTATGCGCCTAACTTTTGTGCCGGTACGCCTAACTGGCAAAAAGTTAGTCTAGAGCCCTGCTCCTGGTCTCTAGGAGAACTGTTTCACATCCAAATGGAGAGACAGAGGTTTGATAGGGAGGCCTGGGAATGTCCTGCTGCTTCCCAGAAGAACTGGAGGAGGGGGCTGGACACCTTTTGGAGGAAGAACACTGAGAGTAGTAGTTCTAAAACAGCTGGGTTTATTTGAGGAGTTTCCATCAGGTTTCAGAGCCCATCACAACACAGAAACAGCTTTAGTGAAGGTTACAGGTGATCTTCTTATGGCTTCTGATCTCTCGCCTCTGTCATTGCGCCCCAGGGCAGCTGTGGCTACAATGTAGCTTGCCATTGCCAGTGTGTGAATGTGTGTGTGAATGGGTGAATGACTGAATGTAGTGTAAAGCGCTTTGGGGTCCTTAGGGAGTGAGTAAAGCGCTATACAAATGCAGGCCATTTGCCATTTACCATCTCAGACTGGATTATAGATGGCAGACAGTTGGTGTCGTAAGCCCCACCCTCTGTTCAAAGATGGTTGTTCACAGTGGACATGCTTCCTTCTCTCCATCTGTCTTCTCTGTCCAACATGTGGGCATTCTCAAAGAGTGACCTTTGACCTTCAGATGCAGATGAACAGCTGGCTGTTTGCTGTCTCAGATACTATATCCATTCATGAGAAACTGAAGGGGTTACCACAGACTGGATAAAAAATCTGCAGGAAGTTATTCCTGAAGACTGGGTGATGCTGGTGTTTATTCTCCCCACAGAATCATTTTACATTTGCTGATGTTTCTGCAAAACAAAAGACTGAAAGGTTCCTGTGCCTCGTCTCTATCTGCAGACCCGGCTAATAATAAGCTGAACTCTGCTCCTGTCTCTGATCAGCCACGTCCTTCAGAGATGCTCGACACGCTGCGTTCCTGTGAGAACTCACACACTCCGTGAATGTTTTCTCTGATTTAAGATTTGGAGTCACACGGCAGGAGGCAATGAACCACGCGTGATTCATCACAAACTCGCTTTATTGTGACGACCTTCCCGCCTCCTCGCTGCTCTCGTCTCCTTCCAGCTCGCTCGGTTTGTTAACAGGAGCTTTAATGTCAGGTGTTTTGTGTGAGTCCCATTGTAACTCTAATGTGAAAACCTGATTTCATTGTTATTGTATTTTGTGCAACACTGAGACGATGTTTAAATGATGGACAGGTGGAGTCAGTGAGGTTTTCAGGTTTAACCTTTAATGAGCTGATGTGGTTTTCTGATCGAAATCAGGCAACAGAGGTCAGAGTTCATAAACACATGAGCTGCTGCCTAAATGGAGAGTTTGACATCTCTGGAGTAAAGGTCAAAGGTTAAAGGGGTCGCCTGTATAAGTGTACTTTGGTTCAAACCCTGCGGCATTTCACACAGAAGAAGAAGTAGTCAGATACTTCACACTCCGCCCGCTTCTCCATCCGGACATTCAAACCAAATGCTTTCAACACTTCAGCTGACTGGCTCTATGGTCATCATGGAAACAAAGGAGGGGTTCAATTATGCCACAGACCGCCGGGTTGCCTCTCATGCCTAACCTGAGGGGGCATCGCATGGTGTGAGTTTATCTCACCACCATTTCACTGTGTGAGCGCATTATTCCCCGACTCTTCTGAGCAACCTAACAGAACCTGACTGTCTGTGAGTTCAGTCCAAGATCGAATCAGGATGAGAAACTATCAAAGTAAAGTCACCTGAGTCCTGTTTGGACTTGAAAACAGCAAATGGAGGGTTAGGTTATGTTTCACTACACCCTGTATTCAGCCAATCACACACATTCACTCCGATGGAGGCATCAGGGGAAAACTCGAGTTGCTTTTTTGATCGGTCCGATCAATTGTATCCTTCTCATTGTGATGGAGCTGATGGCAGCGCCCCTCCTCAGCAGCAGGATGACGGTCAGTTGATGAATTCGCCCGACAGACTGCGGCCGCAGCGAGCTGAACGCATCTTCAGCTCGTGGTAGCACTGGACAAAGCTGTGATAGATGAAGGTGATGGGCAGCGCCAGCAGGACGATGCCGCTCACCACGCAGAGGCCTCCGAGCATGCGTCCCGCCACCGTCATCGGGTACATGTCCCCGTAGCCCACTGTGGTCATGGATATGATGACCCACCAGCAGGCAGCGGGGATACTGGCGTAGTCATGGTTTCCAGCCTCCAGGTCAAGGCCGTGCTCTAGCAGCTGAGCCAGCGCACTGAAGATCGCCATGGCAACACAGACGAAGACCAGGAGCATTACCATCTCACGATAGCAGCGACGAAGCGTCAGGCCAAGTGTCTGCAGGCCCATGAAGTGACGCGCCAGCTTGATAACCCAGAAGATCCGCATCATGCGAAGGACACGCAGTGTCACACCGGCTCGCTGCAGCTGCGAGTTCTCGCCCGTCAGGCTCGTCATGGCAACAGAGATGTAGTATGGCAGGATGGCCAGAAGGTCAATGATGTTCAGAGGCCGCTGAATGAAGTCCCACTTATCACGAGACACTAGGAAATGGACAATGCACTCTGCCGTGAACCAACCAATGCACACCGCCTCAATGATGCTGCAAGGGAGGGGCCAGAGGGGACAAATGAGAAAGCAGAGATAGACCAATGAGATGTTGCTGAAAATTAACAAATCACAGGTGGAGATGTCAGACAATCATTCACAATGGTTTCACACAGAAGGGGAGTTAAGTTATTCATATTAGGTACACTGACAATGACGCAATGGTTAACGCATTTGCTTGGTGAGCAAAAGGTTGCTGGTTTGATTCCAGCTGGAGACACAGATCCCTCTGCGGTTGTGTTGGGTAGCACATCTCACAGCCAACTCAAGCATGCAGAGCTACCACTGTGGCAAGAAGCTTTACACACACAGGAGCATGTACACTTTGTGGCTTATCAGTCAATTATCAATAATCCGCTGCTGGTCCCGGTTTTCCTCCGAACCGAATCAGTTCTCTACCTGCTGCAGGTACCTGTCAGAACTGGACCGGGTCTGTCAGGGGCTGATTCTGAATAGTGCAGTGTGTGTGTCAGTGTGAGTCCTACCTTTGCTGTTCCAGCGCTGTCCAATCAGGTAAGGTGCTGGCACATAGCATCACCATGGAGATGACTACAAACAGCACTGACACTGAAGCAAGGAGCTGCGCAGCCAACGAGGATGTGGGCTCCTCAAATGTTCTCCTCATCTTCTCCAGCCAAGGATTCTGCGTAATCTCAGGGCCACGTGGTAGCTCCTCCTCCGGGAAGAAGTGCACGAGGGCGTCAGACATGCGGTCGTCCAGAAGACGCTGGCAGCACAGCTGCAGATCAGAGCTCTCCAGGCCCCAGTACAGCATCTCGTTGTAGAAGGAAAGCTCACACATGTGTGGCACAAAGCGCAGTTTCCCGTGCTGCACGTACAGCATGATGAAACTGAAGGCCTCAGAGTGGCGGTCAAAGAAGAACTCATTGCGATCACGATCGTAGTCATCGCAGAGCTCAAGAAGCTCGCTCTCCGACACGCAGCGAAGCAGTCGACTGAGTCTGCTGAGGGGGAGACGCCTCATCAGCTCCGCAGTGTAGGAGAACCTGCGGCCACCAACGTTCAGCGTGCAGAGGCTGCTGCCACATTTCATGTTTTCTCTGCGTGAGGAGGCGTTGCCGCAGTTCGTGCTGGAAACCTTCAGACTCCTGCGAGCGCAGCCAAGATGCTCCAAAGTTTCATGTCAGCAGCCAAAGAGTGCGAGAACGCTGTTGCTTCTCAAGTTTCCTCCTCAGATAAAAATGTCTTTGCAGCTTCAGTGAAAATGGAAGCGTGTCAGGAATGTAAAGAAGATCAAATGAGCAGTGACCCACTTTCATCGATTATTTTTAGTCAAACTCTGAGAAACTGAATCAATGCCATAGACAGATTTCCTGCTCAGCAGAAATCAGCGAGGATTCTCTTTGACTTCTGCTGCATCTCTGAGAGTGAAGAGCAGCAGCTCACCCTCCTCCTCCTCCTGTCAGAGAGGGGGAGGATCACTCGCTGATCCGAAGAGTCCGAGCCAGAGACACGTTATATCCCCCAAAACCTCCTTCCTGTGCTTCAGCATCTCCTCATCCTCTGCTGTTGATCTTCTTCCTCTTTAGCTGTCCTCATTTTCATCACATATTAAACCTTTAATCCTCTTAATCATAATTTAATGTTTCAGTGCGCATCAAAGCATGTGTGCATAATGATTTTATGAACTCAGTAATAACCTGCAGAGCTGTGGAAAGGTTTCCCCCTGCTGGACACAGCTCATCATCATCATCATCATCCTCATCATCGGATTTTGGAGAAAACAAGGAACTACAGCCATGCAACAAAAACGAATAAAGATTAATAAATGCCTGTACAAGGCTAAGTTGTTCCAAATGTTTTACAAGCTGTAACGGTGAAGGTGCCCTCTGAGCTTATGCTTAGCTTTCGATACACTCAGGAGCAGCTGATCGGCCGACCTGAGAGAACAGGAAGTAATGTGGGACGAGATAATTACAGCCTTTTAAAGCAATTCCAAAAGTGATCCTAAAATTTATAGGCGGCCAGTGGTTCCAGGTTAAAATGGGAGAAACATGCTTATAATTGTGTGTGCTGATTCAAAGACATGCAGCAGCATTCTGTACTAACTGAAGATGAGCCACTGAAGAAGCACCAGCCCTCAAGCAAAGTTCATTCCAGTAGTCCAGCAGAATGGTAACAAAGGTGTGGATTACACTCTCAAAGTGCTGCCTGGAAAGAACTGGCTTTATTTTGGCCAGCTGCCTCAACTGGAAATTAAATAATTTTTCCACACTGGTTTGTAATAGTCAGCCTGATGTACTGGGCCAAGGAACAGATATCAACAAGGGTGTCAGAGTGATACCTGCAAACATCATCACTTCAGTCTTTTTCTCATTAAAATTGAAGAGGTTAAGGGCCTGGATGGCCTTTAAGTCTTCAACACACTTGAACAGCAGTCTAGCAGAATATGTTTCTGTCACGACGTAACTCTCTCCAGGTTGTTGGACACAGGTGCTACCAATGATGCCATGATGTACAAAACAACATAAAATAATCAATTTTTTACAGTAAGGCGTTCTCATAAAGCATATTATTCAACAACATAAACATTCACATTTTGACCTTTACAAAATGTTGACACATTCTGTGACTAACATATAAACAGCTCTGTCACAAAAAACATCTTATTTTTCTAGCAACACATAAAATGCTAATTGCATACCTCAATGGCTGCATTAACGTGAAGGGAGCAATGACACTCACACTCTTTACCCACAGCTGGAAAACTTTGCTGCATCCATCTCCAAATCTCTACCACCCACTGAGAAAGGAAAAAATGCTGCCCTCTACCGAGTGTGGCGTGTAACTTAAAATATCGTCAACTGTAAATAGACTGAACATTGTTTCCACCAATGTTTGTTTTAAAACCAACAATCTAAACATTACAATCTGATTTTTTAAACATGAAGTTGCTTATTTATTGTAGCTTAAAAACATAAAATTAACTTAAAATGCATAAAGAACCTAGAACTTTTATTATCATTATACAGTTGCTTGAACAGTGAAGTTAGGCAGCAAGATCACAAAGGTCTGAAAGTAAAGAAAACAATATACAAAAAAAGAAAAAGAAAAACAAGCATTACAAGGGTATCGTAATAAAATATAATAAATAATAAATAAGGGTGGAAGGTCATTAAGGTCATGGATCATCTGCACATCTGCTGAAATATTGCATAGGAGAAAAAAAAATGGGAGCATAATAAATAGCAGCGACAGAGTGGCTGTATGACTGTATGGGAGAGGTCTGCTCACACTCTTGCATTACGAGTTCTGAGATGATTGAATGTTGGGGTGGGTACAGTTTCCTCTGCGGTGGGGTAGGGTGGGCTGCCCCGGGTCCTGTGGGGCTTGGCAGTGCTGCTACCGTAGGCCCCGGTGTGGATGGACCTGGGCTCCCTTGCCTTGGTGGGCACCAGAGGACGGGGGTGCCTACTGGGGTCAGCGGGGGAGCTGGCCCTAGGGAGGGGCATCCTCCCCTCCCTCGTTTTCCTCCCCATCCCTGGCTACCTCCCTCTTCCCGCTCCACCACACTCACCCACACAGGTAGGGCCTTGGGGTGCGGGT